CCAGACCTACCCCCACTGCGGCTCTGCAGTTTAAATGTAGTAGGAGCCAGGCTGGCCGACTGCACACCCAGCTTCTACTACATTTAAACCGCAGAACCGCAGCGGCCCCTTATCGACTAATTGTGTACTCAATATAAACTGTATCAAGTACATGATTAGCCATTTACTCGCTACATAACATCCATAGCACATTTTCATTTTTTCTCCCCAAAAAACAAACATTAATAGAGTTAAGGACCTGAGCAACATTAGTCAAATAACTGGCAGTTTAATTTTGGGGAAAAAAAATCTTAACTTTTTGCCATAGCAATTATCCAACAACTTGTCCTAGAAAGTCTAAACTCAAGCCAACCGGTATATAGGAACAACAGAACACAAGAACTCTCATGTGGGAGAGTTTACAACATTAAGGGATTTAGGAGCACAGGAGCAGGCAAAGACACTGTGATTTGTGCTCCTAAGCACCTTTAGTAATTCTCCAAGGGGTCTAGCTTTAGACTCTAGTTTTTTAAATTTTGGCGTGGGTAGCTCCATCTACCCGTTGACTCTGGAAAACTCTACTTGCAACACAAAACTGTGAAAATGTCCCTTTCCTGAGAAGACCTGTACTTGCCAAAAATCCTGCAGAGGCAGCTTCCAAGGTCTATGTAACCAGGAACACATTTCATCCTCAAGGCAACCATTTTAGTCCATCTAATCAGGGGAGGGAAGCCAGACTGACAGAGCAGACTTAAGGTTACCATTTGACATGTAAACGGATTTCTCCCTGAGTGACTTAAGGGACAACGGAGGGGGGAAGAGGAAGGGTGTTTAAATATAAACTAGCCCACTTTTATATTCAGTCGTCTACACTAGCACCTTGGATTTACTTAGCACTGTACGCACATAGAAGGTGGTCACATTTGCCTCAAGAAGCTTTTAGTCCCACAGGACATGGGACAATAGCTCAGGGAGAGGAAGTGTATTTTTAATTAGGATTTGAAAAGCGTTCTAACTTGGTTGGTCATAACAATTCCCTTGTAATACTGGTTACTTTAATATAGATGCTTATTCACCAGCCTCGTGTTTGGGAAGCTGACCCTATTTTACCAAGCGGCAGCCATTTTTTCCAGATAACCCCCAAACATTGTTTCTTTGCTCTTTTTAATTCTGATTTCTACCAAGGAGCAAACATTCTAATAACGCACATTCTAATAAAACACTGCAGTCCAGCAATGAGCGCCTCCATTCTAGTGGGAGACGGTAACAAGTGTGTTAGCAGCTATAATGTGCCATTATCCATCAACAATTTAAAGTATCGCATGAAGGATCCCTGTCCCCTTGACACACATCTTAGGTCTTCAATTGGTAAAGATCATCAAGGAAAACCAGGACTCAGGCCTTTTCTTAAATACCCAACTGTCGCACCAGTTTAATCAAAATCAGGTTTTCTGGGTGCAAACCCCTGGGTACTTGTACTAAACCAGCGATTTCCAAACGACGGTCACAACCCACCACTGGATGGGGGGGGAGGATCAGGTGAGTGGGGGAGGGGGGGGGGCCCTAAGGCAGCTCCCTGCCTGTCCTGGCAACGCAGACCAAGCTGTGCCCTAGAAGTAGCTGGAAGCAGGGCCAGCACCTAGGGGGAGGGGGGACGAGCACACAGGGCTCCGTGTGCTGCCCCTACCCCAAGCACTAGCTCCACACTCTCATTGGCTGGGAGCCTGGTCTGCAGTGGCAGGAAGTACGGATGTTAAGAGGCGGGTAACTGGGTAATCGTGTAGTTGACAAGGGAAGGCGCTACCCCAGCTGCGGCTCTGCAGTTTAAGCATTAAGAGCCGGGTGGGCAGGCAACCCAGCTCCTACCACATTTAAACTGCAGAGCTGCAGCGGGGGTAGCTCCTGGACCCGGCGCAAGTTGGGACTGAGCTTTTAAGACAGTTCCCCCCAGCACCGGCTCCTGCTGCCCCTCCACTTGCTGCCTTTGATATAGTGGCAGCAAGGGGGGGAATGCGGGTAGTCGACTAAGTGACTCTTTTATACCCCTAGCAGGAAGCTGCCTTAGTACCCACCCACCCCTGCACTGCTGACCAGGAGCTGCACAAGATAAGCCCGTGCTGCCCCAGCCATGACCCCTCCCCAAAGCTGGAGTTTCTTCCTACAGCCCAAAGCTTCCTCCTCAGCCCCACCCTGGAGCTCACACTCTAGTCAAATCGCATCGGGTCACGGCATCAATAACTTTCTTCAACTGAGTCATGAGAAAAAAGTTTGAAAACCGCTGCGCTGAATAGTTCACAATTGGCTTAGATCAATGTAAGTTACTAAGTCAAGCTAAATCAATGGGAGCCAGATGTAACAATGACCAACCACACCAACCATGGTTCTCTCTGCACCGATACCTTGCTCTAGTTCAAATGAAACCTGTTTAACTAGTACAAAGGCATGTGTGTGTAGACAAGACCCTGGACGGAACGACTGGTCATTGTCACACTTCAGACATATACTTAAAGTCAGCGTGAAGAAACACAAAGATCCAAGCAGAGGGAGAAGATGCTCGTTAACTCTTGAAAAGAAAAACACACACATCACCCTTTAAAAAGAGAGACTTCAGTCCGTTCGCTGCACGAAAACCCTCCTTTAACGGTGCACTAGGCTGCATGTCAGAATCAAGATGCCTACGAGCAGACTGAAAGTTCCCGCTAAGCCCAGAAGGATGGTGGCAGCTGTGCAATTGCCTTTAACTCGCTTGTATGACACCACTCCAGTGATTTTCATGAACCATTCAGAAAGCCCATCTCAAAAACTGTAGCTCAGAGGAAGGATGGTACCAACTTTACCTTTCACTCACTGGGTGGGTGGGGAGGGGGGAATGCAGTGAGAGTACAAGATTGTGTTTGAAGCCAACACTGGGCACCAGAGTGAGACACACCAGCCACCAAAAGGTTATCACTCCCTCTCTGTCATGAACTGCCCACCTCTGCACATCAAGTAGGCAAGCCAAGAGCCAACCAGGAAATGACCGAATGCTAGCTTGCTCTCTCACTAGCTTGGGGTGTCTTTTGTGGAGTATTTTAGCAGCAAATTACAAGACGTGTAAGATGGAATGGTCTCTCCTTTACTGTCTTCCTATATTTCTCTATTTCCTTCTCCCCATCTCCAATACATCCTTCCCTAAAGTTTTCATTGTAGAGTAAACTAAACAGCTCTGAAGCACCAACCATGGGAGACAATAACCTCACATCATATTGTGTATTTGCCTTTCTGAATAAAGTTAAAACCTACTGTGCTTTGTAACGATACTTTAAAAACCTTAAATTTATTTTTCAAGTCTCAGTATGGAGAGAAACGGTTGTTTAAAAAGCTCAATTAGTGATTGAGCTCTGGGAGCCCCCAAGTACTGTTGAAGTTGAGGGGCGGAAGAGCCGTGACAACATTATGCAGCGTTTCTTCATGCAGACTGAAAGTTTCCAAAGTGCTGAGTTTCCACACACCACATCACCAGCTCTGCTGTACAAAACCTCTCATTACCTGGATCCAGGAGCTCCTAAAACTCCAGGCCTACTCTTATCCTGGCATCCTAATAGGAAGAAGCTCACGGGGCAGAAAAAGCAAGACATCTGATTGCAGTATTTTTATGCTGAGCCATTTCCAGCCGCCTTAATAATATACCTTACCGATACTTCCCAAGCCACCCCCTAAAAATCACAGCTTATGTGCCAGAGCTTCACCATCCTAGTGTAACTTTTGGAGTTTTCCTAAGACAAGGGCGGCCAACCAGTTAGACACGAAGAGTCCAAAGAGCTGGGGATAGTGGTGCAAAGAGCCACACGTCCCTCCCCCACAGCCAGGCACCCCCAGCCCCCCCAACCCAATGCCCTCCCCCTCCCAAAGAGACCCAGGCCCCTCCCATTCTAACCCAATGCCTGGGTCTCACCAGAGCTACCACGGCCATGGCCACACACTTCTCGCTCCAGGAACTGGGGCGTGTGCACAAGCGGGGACGCAGCTCCAAACGAGCCGCAACCCTGAGAGCCGCATCTCTGTGAACAAAGAGCCATACGTGGCTCAAGAGCCACAGGTTGGCCACCCCCGTCTTAAGAGCAATAGCACAGCCAGGTTTCTAGGAGTGGGACATTCCAATACAACTTGGGTGGCTTCAGCTAATCGGTATTGGAACAGCTGAGATTTTAACCATGTATGAAGGCAACAGCATACAGAGAAGGGATATGGGGGGAAAAAGGCAGCAAGATCTCTTGCATGCTAGATACTTTATTGTACAGAAACCCCTCCCATGCAATAGTCTAATGAATGCAACACCTCTGAGCACAGAGAACGTGTTACAGCCACACACCCCGGAGTATGCCAGGGATAGCCCTAGGGCAATTCTATTTTAATCCTCTCCCAGTTAGTGCCATTTTAGACGAGGGAATGGACTCCCATGGAGTCTAAAGTTAGGCTCTATGCGGGATTAAAGTTTGTAGGAACACATATCCCCAGCCTCTTCAAAACCAAACTGTGCTCCTAAATCTCCTGGATGTTTTTTGAAAACTCTTCCCTACCCTCCCACATTCAGAGTTTAGGCAGGCCATCACTGGAGTTGGACAGGCCAGGGGGCATAGAGTGGGAACTTGGGAAAAAAGAATCATCTTTGTGGGTACCATTTACTTAAATACAGCAAAGGGGCGTGGGACCAGCAAAGGGGCGTGGGACCAGCAAAGGGGCTGAAGGCAGTCAAATCCCACTGAAATTCAAACTCCCTTCAGCCTCTTGGAAAGTCCCAACTAAGAGAATTAATCTTTTAGCTATTCATGAAGCTTCACCTCCGTTACACAACGGCAAAATATTCCTGGACACGCACAGACAAGGGATTACGGAATTAGCGTTCGTACTCAGAGAAGCAGCGGTACAATAGAACCATGAAAATACATTAAAGAGCCGCCACGAAACTGACAACTCCCTTTGCTTCAGGGCTTTGTATTTGTTTTTAACTCTGAAAAGAGGCATTAAGAAGAAAATAATACCTGATCCGCCAAACTGCGTGCTTGCTAGCGTCGTGGGTCTGTTTTTTCCATTAGCCACTGGCAGGGGGAACATCTAGAAAAACAAGAAGAGGAGAGAGAGGGAGAAAGGTGAGATTTCAATATGTTAGCTTTGTTGTGGTAAAGGAGCGACAAGAAAGAATTTAAAGTGCAGAAAGCTTTCCAGTTACTCTCTCAGCTGATCTATATAGCAGAGAGGAGAGTAACCCAACTCTGTGAACTTGTGTACACAGACCTTCCAATTCCTTTTTCATGAAAAAGCAGCTTCTGGGATATTTTTCAACTGCACTAAAGGAAGGTTCCCTCTTCCCACCCTTGTGCTTATGGCTCATTCTTTCCTTCCCACATTATTAAAGGAGGCAGAAAATTCAGGAGGAGCACAAGGCCACAAAGTTTAAGGTGTCCCCTTATTAATAAGTTAGCATAGGAGTGCAGTGCCAAATTCTCCATCTAAAGAGAGGTTCACCCTCTACCTCCTTCAAATTAAGCACACCTATGAAAACTGGCTTATTTCCTTCTCCACCTCCATTATTTTGGTGCTATCTTATGTCCTAGAAAGAAGTTAGCAGCTATAGGTTGACCGCTCTAGTCCAGCACCCTAGAGACCTGGCCAATAATGAACCAAAGAATTTCCTGAACTATGGGAGATCATTATCGTCTAGCAATTTTACCAACACTTCCACTGATTACTAGGCTTTTAGAAGACACACAGGAGTAAATCAGAGCTAAATAACAGCACAACTGGTATGTAAAGTGGTATGTAAACATACTTTATGAGACCACAGGATATCTGGCCACACCCACGATAAGTGGACACATTACAGGCAGTCCCCGGGTTACGTACAAGATAGGGACTGTAGGTTTGTTCTTAAGTTGAATTTGTATGTAAGTCAGAACTGGTACATATTGTAGGGGAAACTCTAGCCAAACATTTCTCCAGAGCTCAGTTTTATTCTCCCACACCTCACTTCCCTCAGTCCTTTATTCTCAAGCTGAGGTGTCTACTGAGAAAAGCCGCTCTGCGTCTCCCTGGTCTGCTGGGGGGCGGGGCGCTAGCTTTGCATCTCCCTGGTCTGCTGGGGGGAAGCAGCTAGTGCGGGGTTGCCTCACCCCGTTTGTAAGTAGGGATCCGATGTAAGTCGGATCCATGTAACCCGGGGACTGCCTGTACTGGATCAGAGCGCGCTGAACTAGAGGTTCAGCCTGTACTGCAGTCATTCCAGCTGGTGAAACAATGAGCCTTTAAGGTACCACAGAACTGCTAACAGATTTATTTGGGCATCAGCTTTCATGGGTAAGAACCACTTTGTCAGTGGCAAAAATGCGATCATCAAATATCCATCCACTTGCTCTCTCCTCCCAGAGACACTGCGCCAAGATGAGCGCATTCTGCAAGAATTTGTAGGTTGGTGAAGTTTGGCTGATTCCAACATTATGTAACACACGTTAACAAAGATTAATGTGCTTTCACACTATCGGTCATTTTAACTACCTGTTTGCTACAGTTACTGCTACAACGTATCGCTAACTGCCCTCTGCCAAAGAGCTTCCTTGAAAATACTGCATACCTAGTCAGCTAATGCGGAAATGTATTTTTCAAGTCAAATGGGTGGGTTTCAAAAATTGTTTAAAAAAGTACAGGCACCTGCGTACAGCAGAAGATAATTTTTTTTCTACAAACATGGAGCTTTAATCAGTAAAACAGCTAGTGGGAAAATGCTTAGTATAATATTGAACGCAGATACTTGCAGATCAAATTACAATATTTTTAGCTTGGTTATATTTGAATAACTCAAAGCTTTAATACTTTGAAGATTAAACAATGTAATCGTCCTTTAATAGAGAAATGTAGCATTTTATGTCCTGACTTATTTAATGCTTTCTTGTGACCAGGAACATTCATTTACACACTTGTCTGCTCAGCTTTAGTTACCAATCAGACATATAGAAATACATGGAGGAGATTTTCCAAAGGCAGAAAGAGCAATCAGCCAACAAACTCCCACTGAAAAGCCATGGAATTAGGGTGCCAAGAAATAAGGATGTTAAGCAGGTAACTGTCTCATCGTGTAGTCGATACAATTTGTATCGACTACACAATTAGTCGATAAGGGGCCCCGCTGTGGTTCTGCTATTTAAATGTAGTAGGAGCTGGGCGCACAGGCAGCCTGGCTCTTACTACATTTAAAATGCAGAGGTGCGAGCCAGGACTGAGCAGGCTAAGCCTAGGCTTACCAGGTAGTCAACTACTCACTTATATCCCTACCTAACACCTGTACCTACTTGTGAAAATAAATACGTACATGAGAGAGCCAGGGCATGTACACTTAAAAACAACAGTAAACAGAAGGCTCACAAGAGACTTAGATTTTCAGTGCTAGTAAAGAAATTCCTGAGGACAACAACAATGTTAGTTTATATAGGTAGTGCTGCTGTAGCCATGCTGGTGCTAGGAGGATATTAGAGAGACCAAGCGGGTGAGGTAATCTCTTTTATTTGACCTAGAAAATGTTACCTCACCCACCTGGTCAGCTTAGAGACAGATTTTTTTAAATAAAGGGTACTAAACTGATAGCCTGAAGTTCACTTTATCCCAGCAAGATAGCAAGGGACATTGCTTTTACTCCTCCCCCCTCAGGAAACTGGAGAAGCGTTACTTTAATTTAGCAATGGGAAACCTAGACGAGCCAGTGGACCACATGAGTGGCCCTCCATGTCAGCAGGTTGCAAGACTGTCGTAACCAAGATGATTTCCCGGGATAGGGAAGTTTTGCTCACTGTGCTGGCATACCTAGGGGGGTGCTGACCGAAGCATAGCAGCGCCTGGACTGGACGCAGATGGAGCACGCGGCCCTCACAATGTTAGGTGCAATCTGCACATACGTCCCTTCATAAGTGCATATCACTTTAGCAGTATCACTAGGAAAAAGCTACATGGACAAAAACCAATCAAATCTGGCAACCCTACATGTGGGAAACATTAAACAAAATGTCTCGGGGGCCACAAACAGAACACCAATGGGTTAAATGTGGCCGTGAGGCTGCTGGCCACTGAAACTGTCATTAATCTTCACTTCCAAGAGGGTGGGGAGTTTTTGTTTGGGGGAATCCTTGAATGTATTGCTATTGAGCATCAATTGGTGCATGCTGGCTTCCTAAGTCTCAGAGTTTGCTTATTTTTCATAAGCATTTCTGCTTAATAACTGCTGATGCAACAACAACCACCCACAAGGTTAGACTGAAAACACCAATGGAGAGAATGTATAGCTTTGTTCCATTGTGCAACACACAGTTTCTCTTCTACTTCTGCAAAAGGGGTCTCCCCCCCACCACCACTATTTTTGGTAATCCCCAGCACACCCACACACTGAACACACATGAATGAGGGTTGCCTTCCCACCTCCTGCCTTCATCTTCCTTACGCAGTTTTGAAAGATACTGTCAGTGGGAATCTGCAGTAACTCTTTGCAGCTCTCTCATGATTATAGGAATTAAAGAGCTATCATTCATCAAAGCTAGCTGAGACTTTAAAGCATCACAATATTTGATAAATAAGGAGCCACACACTTATGTTACTTCAATACAGATTTAAGCCCAGATATTACAGATAAAATGCAGGAAATATAACGCTTATGCTGTCAACTTCTGTTTTTCTACAGCAGTGTGGGTTTAAGTCACACTGCTATGCTTCATTTAAGGACATAGCGTAAATCAGATTAACAAATGGAGAGGACACTTTTAGTTTTCATCATGCCATAGCAACATCTAAGTTCACTCACCCATTGTCAATTTCCTTTTTGTTTTTAAAATGTTACTTTAAAAAAAAAACAAAATAGTTAGAAAACCAGTACCGAATAGAAGGCTTAAGTATCAAGGTTTTGCAATTTTGTAATTGGTTCATTACTTGATTTGTTGGCTTTGAATAACATAGGTTTAATGGTACTATGTAAAATCCCCTGCCTTAAATTTCTGTAAACAGTTTATAAATTGTTGCACTGATGCCTTCAACCTCCTTGAGAGATGACAACTACTTAACTGCTAGCCCTTCAGATATCACAGTGTCATTCTTGGACACAATAAAAAACAAAACTAAACATACTGGAGGGGAAAATACAGAGATATATTTTAATGGATGGTTACATCTAAGATACCAGCAGTGTTCTGAGAGAGAAGCTTGACTGATAAGTGAAAATGTATTTGTCCAGTTACGTATCTATGTGTTTATTAGTGGACAGATTTCAGTGAATTAAGTCCCAAGGCTGCAATGGCTGTAAATAGAGTTTGGAAAAAAAAAACAATTATTTTTAAGAACACTTTTCCCAGACTAATTTATTTTAAGTCAATTTTTCACTCTCTCAGATTATAACAAAGCAGCCATTTTTATGTAGTTGCCACTCATGCATACCAAATCTATTAAAAATATTCTATTTACTTCTATTAAGCAATTAATTGTGACATAGGCCTTTAGTTCAGAAAGTCTCAAATTAAAAAAAAGTTAAACCTGAGAGCTATTTTGGAGCACACAGAAAATAACTTAATGGTTGGATATTTTATTAGAAATGAATAAAGAGAGAATTCCACTCAACATTAGCAAAGGCATAAGTGTTCCCTTAAGCAGAACCCTCCCAATTAAAGCCTTGTACGCCTACTAAAGTGTAACGTGAACTTTATTAGTTATATTCTGAACAAAAATCAGTTTTATCACAAAAATGCAGGCTCCCTGTCTTTGCTACAGTGAGACATTTTAACTCTAGGAAGTAGCTGAAGGAAAGTTTTAAAGAGCCCCAGGCCAAAAATATATATATTTGTCCATGCAAAACAAGCCAGATACTTGTTACTTAGCTTTGGGAAGGTTGGACACAACTCTGCCTTCCCCAAAGTTTTACTCCCCACAGGGTGGCTGGATCCACGTGCTTAAGGGGGTAGCCGAGTTAGTCTATAAAGTGCTACCAGATCATTTGTTGGGTTTTTTTGGATCCACGTGGTTCAGCATGCAATACAGAGTGCTTTCTGCTATAAAGGCCCGTCTATATTGCAACTGACGACATATCATAC